GACGACATTGGGGGGGGGTCTCTGCGCCGTCTTGGGGTGGGCCTTGGGGCATATCACCATGTAAGGGCGCCTCTTGGGTGCTTTCTGGGGCTTGCTTGGGCCTCTTGGGGCATCGTTGCGCTTCCTGGGGTCTTCGGCCGTCTCAGGGTGGGTCTGGCGGCGTGTCGCAACCAGGCTGGGGCGGGTTTGGGAGCTTTTTGGGGGCCGAGAGGAGTGCCAGGGAGCAAAACGCAGGGGAATGTTTTCCATCAGCATGTGACGGCGGAGGTCGCCACTGGAAAGCTTCGAGAACACTGCCAAGCAGCTGACAGGCATGCTTCAAACGGCCCAGCGTGCCGAGGGCACGTTGGCGAATGGTGGCGCACACCTTCCTCGCTCATCCGGAAGAAGGCACGTCGCGGTTCAGGCGTATGGGCCAGGACTTTTTTCAGGCGGTAAGGCTGGCTGACGATTGGCTGGACTGAGTTGGTTGCAGTCACTAGCATGACGTTTTAACTATAAACGCTTCGCGCGCCCCAAGAGCCTATCCAGCTACGAGTGTCTCGCTAATTTTTGTGCTGCGGGGTCTCACATTTCATCACCTCGACTGGCGGGGTGTGGTGTCGTCTAGGCGCGCGCGCGCGGTCGAATCCGGTGTAGTGTGTGCCGGTCTGGTGTTGGTGACCATCTTTGGTGCGCGATCCGGTTTCATCCGTTTGTGGACGTCTGGGTACGCGAAGTTGGCAGTCTGAAGGAGTGCGTTTGTTGTGGTGGCCAGGTTTTGTTTTTCTTCCTGCTTCTCCTCATGCACCCTGCTAGTTTTCGCACGCCTCACGGGTTCCCGCCCGTCCGCCGTCGAAGGCTTCATCCCCATCCTGCGTACCTGCCTGAGTTTACTCGTCTTCCATGTCTTTCCTGCGCCCCTCCTCGCCAGTTGTGGGCCTCCTCGTGGCATCGATGTGTCCACAGGCCGGCGGGCGGGGGCAGACCCGTGAACACGTGGGTGGCTTGCCTGGCTCTCGGCTGTCCCTTTCCCTTCGGGCCCCTCTCCGCTTCTGTTCGGTCAGCTCGTAAGCAGGCGCTCTCCCTCCCTAGAGTCGCGTGCGCCCCCCCCTTCGGAGGCCCTTCCAGAAGCCCTTCGAGAGGCCCGTCTAGAGGCACCTCCAGAGACACCTCTGGAGCCCCCTCAGAGCCTCCAAAGAATACGGTTCCCATGCACGCGCTCCACCCGCCCCTCAAGAGAGCGGACGTGCCATCAGCGCCCGCCCGGCCCCTACCCTGCGATGCTGGACGGTCCGCGTACCTCCACCACCCAATCCAACAACAGATGCACAGGAGTCTACGCAGGGAAGCAAGGGAAGTGAGAAAATGAGGAGGCCTGGGGGAGACTGGGGAGCTTCCACGGCCAGCACGGCTCGAGCATGTCAGCGTTGTTTTCCCCGTCCATGTGATCATGGTCGTCGTCGTCGTCGTCGTCGTCTTCGTTGTCTCTGTATCTCCTTCTCTTTCCCTATCTCTCTCTCTCTCTCTCTCTTCTTCATTTCTGTCTTCCTTTCTTTGTTTCTTTATTTATTTGTTTATTTCTTTTTTTTTTGTTTTCTCTCTCTCTCTCTCTCTGTGCTGATACCATGAGTGCCTATGCGCGCAGACATGCGCAGACAAGTGATCTGGCCGGATTTCCAGTCCGTGACTGGGGCAGCCGCCGATGGGCCCCAGGAGGCCTCCAGAGGCTTCGAAAGCCCCCGAAGACGGCCCAGATGGCCCCAAGATTGCTCGAGATGTGCCCAAGATGGCCCACACAGGGGCAAATATGCCCCCCGGAGACCCCAAGAGAGCTCCAAGAAGCTTTTCAAAAAAGGCCCCCCAGAGGCAAACCTCGTAAATCTCTGGTTGGGTTTTGAAGGCGTTTCGTGCTTCGCGCCGCTTCGGCTTGTCAGCGCTCCTCGACGGCCCAGAGGCCCCCCAAGACCGCCACCAGGAGGCACAAGGGGCCCCGAAGGCGGCCCCAGGACGGCCCAAGATGGCCTCAAGACAGCCGAAGAGGCGCCCGCGACAACCGATGAGGGCCCAATGATGGCCTCAAACGGCCCTTCGCCCAAGCCATTGCAGCGTGCCGCAGTTCCGAATCTTCGCCCCCGCGCCAGAGCCACCTAACGGACCAAGGGTTCGACGGCGAAGCGTAGCAAGCCGTTGACAACTTGTTAAATATATGTATATATATATATGTGCATACATACATGTGCATACATACATACCTACATACATACATACATACATACATACATGCATGCATGCATACATACATACATACATACACATATACATACATACATACATACATACATACATACATACATACATACATACATACATACATACATACATACATACATACATACATACATACATACATATTTACACACATACAAACATACAAACATACAAACTTACAAACATACAAACATTCAACCATACACATATACATACATACATACATACATACATACATACATACATACATACATACATACATACATACATACATACATACATACATACTGTCAGACCTACACACAGACATACATGCATTCACACATACACATACACGCATACACATTCACACATACATATAAAAAACAAACATGCATACATACGTACGCACATGCATGCATGCATACATATACACATACATAGGTACAGACATACGTATACATATACACTCACACGACTGCATTGGCACTTCGCACGCAATTTGATACGCAGGCGGAAGATCAAGAAGGTAAACCAGACAGTCTTGCGATAATTCTTTATTGTTCCCAAACATCCTGTGGTGTTGGGTCCTCGTTTTGAAGAAGCGGTCCCCGTGTCTCCTCCTCCCGTGCCCCTCCCCCAGTGGGGGTACCACATGCGTCTGCCACACCCAGTACAGCGTTTTGTGGCCCCATAGGGAGCTCCACGTAAGGCCCCAGTGGGAGGTACCACATGCGTCTGCCATACCCAGTACAGCAGCGTTTCGTGGCCCCATAGGGAGCTCCACGCAAGGCCCCAATGGGGGTGGCCACATACGTCCGCCACACCCAGTACAGCGCTTCGTGGCCCATAGGGAGCTCCACGTAAGGCCCCAGTGGGGGTACCACATGCGTCCGCCACACCCAGTACAGGGCTTCGTGGCCCCATAGGGAACTCCATCGGAGGCCCCAGTAGGGGTGGCCACAAGCGCCCGCCACACCCAGTACAGCGTTTCGTGGCCCCATATGGGACCGTCCGCATGCGTCCCGCACACCCAATTTGGCATTTTCACCAACCCAGAATAGCGCTTCGTGGCCTCATGAGGAGCTCCACCGAAGCCCCAGTGGGACCGTCCGCATGCGTCCCCGGAACCCAATTTGGAATCTTCACCCACCCAGTACAGCGTTCCGTGGCCCCATAGGGAGCTCCACCGAAGCCCCCAGTGGGACCGCCCACATGCGTCCCACACACCCAATTTGGCAGCTACACCCGCCCAGTACAGCGCTTCGTGGCCCCATAGGAAGCTCCACCGAAGCCCCCGGCTGGACTGTCTGCGTGCGTCCCGCACACCCGATTTGGCATTTTCACCAAGCCAACCCAGTATAGCGTTTCGTGGCCTCATTAGGAGCTCCACCGAATCCCCCAGTGGGACCGCCCGCATGCGTCCCGCACGCGCAATTTTACATTTTCATCCACCCCAGTACAGCGTTCCGTGTCTCCAAAAGGGAGCTCCACCGAAGCCCCCAGTGGGACCGCCCACATGCGTCCCACCCACACACACAACACAACACAACACAACACAACACAACACAACACAACACAACACAACACAACACAGCACAGCACAACACAACACAACACAACACAACACAACACAACACAACACAACACAACACAACACAACACAACACAACACAACACAACACAACACGGCACGGCACGGCACAGCACAGCACAGCACAGCACAGCACAGCACAGCACAGCACAGCACAGCACAACACAACACAACACAACACAACACAACACAACACAACACACACACACACAATTTGGCATTTTCACCCGCCCAGTGCAGCGTTTCGTGGCCCCAGTATGAGCTCCACGAAGCCCCCAGTGGGAACGTCCGCATGCGTCACGGAAGCCCAATTTGGCATTTTCACCCGCCCAGTGCAGCGTTTCGCGGCCTAATAGGAAGCTCCACCGAAGCCCCCAGTGGGACCGTCCGCATGCGTCCCCGAAGCCCAATTTGGCATTTTCACCCACCCAGTACAGCGCTTCGTGGCCCCATAGCGCGCTCCACCAGAGCCCCCAGTGGGACCGTCCGCATGCGTCCCACACACCCAACTGGGCATTTTCACACACCCATTACAGCGCTTCGTGGTTCCATAGGGAGCTCCACCGACGGCCCCAGTGCTACCGCCCGCATGCTTCCCCCCCACCCGGTGCAGCGCTTCGTGGCCCCACAAGGAGCTTCACCGAAGAAGATAGTCACACTTGGGGTACCCACAATTGCATATGGTTGGGTCCTTCGCCAGGATACTGTTTTGTTTTCGTTTGCCTTCCTCTTCCAGATGTCCCGTGTGGCTTACGGGCGGCCCCAGATGGCTTCAAGACGGCCCACGAGATCTCGACGGGCGCTCCCCAGAGGGCCCCAAGAGGCAAAAACCATCGATGCCGCTTGGGTGTTTCAATGTTTTGGGGGTTCTCGACGTTCGAGCTTCCGACGGGCCCCCAAGACCACCCCAGAGATGGCCCGAGAGGCCCCCAAGAGGGCCTCAAGACGGCCCTAGACGGTCCCGAGACGGCCCATGACGGCCCCAAGAGGGGCCCAGGACGGCCCAAGAGGGCTTCGAGACGGCCCCAAGAGGGGCCTCATGCACCTGCCCGACGCTGCCCGCCAGCTGTTCGACCGCGCTGGCGCTCGCCCTCCCCGCGGACCAAACGTATTTTGGGCATCGGATAGGTCTGGAGCTCGGGGGGGAGGGTCGGGAGAGGTGGGCGCCTCCGTCCAGGCATGGCCAATCAGGAGTTGTGGCAACACGCGTGGAACGTGACGTGGCAGAAGCAGGACTCCCTGGGCCTGTCCACGGACCAGGCGAGGGGGGGAGGGATAGGATCTTGTGCGCAAGGAAGCTGCTGGAGGGCGCCGCGGTCGAGTAGCTTCTGAGCAACACCACTGCCCATGGTGGGGCACTCCTGGTATCAGCGGGCAGCTTGCTATTCCCGCGGGCGCAGACTTACAATTGCTGTCGGGGTGGGATTTTCTAAGTCGGGAGGTCGGGTGGCGCTCTGGCGATGGAGAGAGGAGGATGTCTGTGATGGTGATGATGATGATCGTGGTGATGATGATGGTGGTGATGATGACAATTATGATGATGATGATGATGATGATGATGATGATGATGATGATGATGATGATGATGATGATGATGATGATGATGATGATGATGATGCTGATGATGATGATGATGATGGTGATGGTGGTGATGGTGATGGTGATGGTGATGGTGATGGTGATGATGATGATGATGATGCTGCTGCTGCTGCGGCTGCTGCAGATGTTGATGATGATGATGATGATGATGATGATGATGATGATGATGTTGATGATGACGGTACTGGTGGCGGTGAGGACGACGACGGTGACAACGACGATGAGGATGAGGATGAGGATAAGGATGAGGACCAGGATGAAGATGAGGATGAGGATAAGGATGAGGATGATAATAATAATGAGGATGCTGACAATGTTGATGCTGCTGCTGTTGCTGCTGCTGCTGCTGATGACGATGATGATGATGATGATGATGATGATGATGATGATGATGATGAGGAGGAGGAGGGAGGAGGAGGAGGAGGGAGGAGGAGGAGAGGAGGAGGAGGAGGAGAGGAGGAGGAGGAGGAGGAGGAGGAGGAGGAGGAGAAGGAGGGAGGAGGAGGAGGAGGTTGAGGAGGAGGAGGAGGAGGAGGAAGAGGAGGAAGAGAAGGAGGAGGACGAGGAGGAGGCGGAAGAGGGGGAGCCCGCCAGCGCACACGGGGCACCCGAGGCGACGTAAAGTCAGCGTGGGTGGCCAGACGGTCTTAAATTGGTCTTCAGTGCGTGGCGGAAGTGGCATTCCGCGGAGCCGAGTCTTGTTGTGTATTTTTTTGTCTGAGGGAAGATTGTTGTTGATCCTCCCCACTGGTGCCCATGGTCTTTTTCAACTGAAGTGCCCCCCTTCACTGGGCTCGCACTTTGCTTCTGGCAGGGAAAGCATTGATGCTCAAGCTGTGCTTTTGGGCCCCTGGCTGCAACAGCAACGCTTTCCGCCTGAGACGTCCTCACAGCTTATTCAAGGATCGCGCTTGCGCCCGCGACGGTGGGTGGACGAAAAATGCAAGTTGTTCGTGGACGCATGCGGCTGCAGACGGACTGCGACAAGATCTCGACGCCCCCCCCCCTGCCCCCTACATGTCAATGTTGGCGTCGGTGAGGCACCCCCCGTCCCGGACAAAATTATGCAAGTCAACACTGAAATGCGGGGGTGAGGTGGCTCCTCAGAGATCGAGTGAATCTGATTCAAATCAGCACGCTGCTTCCCAGAGCGTTCAAACAACTTGCAATAGTTTGTCCACCGACTGGACGTCCTCACGATTTCCTTCAGAATTGCACTCTCGGCTCGGATTTCCCCATGCGTTACTCGGGCGCTGGGCGCTCTCGAGGTCCGGGAACTGCGCTCTCGCGCGAGACCTCCACACAAGCTGCTCAAAAGCATCGCGCTCTCGCCCGAGGCTTCGCCACACTCTGCGAGCACCGCCTCGGTGCCCCGCCCGCGCGACCCGCCCGTGAGGTCCCGCCCGCCCGCGCCGACCGTTGGGCTTCGTCCGCCCCCCAGAGGAGCCGCGGGCTCGCCTGCCTGGAGGCCCGCCCGCCCGCGTTTTTATGTCCCGCCTGGCCCGCCCGTGGGAGGTCCGTCCGCCTGGCCCGCCTGTTGGGATCCGCCCCGACCGGCCCGCCCGCTCGCCACGATATCCGCCCGGCTGCCTGCCAGGAATCCCGCCCGCCCCCTCGCTTGAAAGTCCATCAGGGACCCTCCTCCAATGCAGAACGGCGCTCTCGGGGATGGGGGGGGGGGGTGTACCCGAGCCCCCCCACATGGTCATTTTCCATATCAAGTCTCTTGTTGGCGAGCTCCTGATTCTCGCGGCTGGGCCCTCTCGCCCAGCGTCGGGAAGTCTCCGATGGATTTCCACCCCGGAACCGTTTCGGGGTGAGCGTCCCGCCCGCCCAGCCCGCCCATCAGGGCGTGGCCGCCCGACTCGCCACGTTGGTCCACCCGCCCAGCCCGCCAGGGCAGGGTCCGCCGTCCGCCGATCCTCTGGCGTCTACTCCTCCCCCCACCCCCCTCTGTTGAGTCTTTTTCGCCCTCGGTTCTCCTATCTCCCCCATTGCCCCCCTCCCCTCTCGTGTTTCCCTCCTTTCCTCGCTCTCTCCCTTCTGATTTGCCCTTCCTCTTCATTTTCTGGGATCCGCGCCAGCTTCCCGCTGCAGGCAAAGAACAGATCCTCCAAAGGGTGTACTATCGAAGAGAACGAGGGCGGGTATCGAGGGTTCGGGTGTATACATGTTGAGTGACACACAAGCAACGAAGAATTAACAGTCTTGAGATTATTGCTGCTGTCGTCGTCGTCCCCAAGACCCGCCCCACGGCCAGCCCCGCGACCAATCCCGCGACCCATCCGGGATCCACCCGCGACCCACCTGCAACCTTTCCGCGACCCACCCGCGACCTTCCCGCGACCTCCTACAACCGAGCCACGACCCATCCGCGATCCTCCCACGACCTACGCTCGCGACCCACGCACACACACAAACACACACACACACATATAGCTGCGTTGACAGGCAAGGTCAGCGTCTGCAACGGAATCTTGACACTTGCTCTTAAGCCTCGCGACCCGCCGACGCCCCGCCCCGCGCCCCCCCCACACCCTGCTCTGCAGAAGGGTCGGCGCCTGCGGCGGGCTTCTTTCCACTGACGCTCGAGCCCCGCGGCCCCGACCAGGCAGCCCAAGCGCCCCTATCACTCTTGACACACAACGGTGGGGTCGGGTGCAGCTCCAGCGCAGGACCCCCTCCACCACCACCACCCCAGGGCTGCCAGGGACCAGCCCAGCCGCGGTGTTCAGGAACGCCGTCCGCCCGCGCACTCGGAGGTCAAGGTTTCCGGGGCAGCTTATAATTTCTAGGTGCTCTCCACGGGACATCTACCCATCCTCGGTTCAAGAACCATTCAGGCACGAGCGGGTTTGGAGGCACTCGAGGCTTAAAACGAATGGCTCGAATAGTTGTTGGGGGTCTCCTTGAGTACGCAGAACAGCCACTGCAGACAAAGAGACGGAGCATCGAGGACGACTCAGATAATTTCAATAGGGTTGGCAGGGGCGAGATACGTCGCAGCATGTTGCAGGGTGGAGATACGTCGCAGCATGTTGGTGCGCAGAGGCATTTACACGTTTGCCAGTATAGCTTCCAAGGCCGCTTACAGGACTTGCAGGTGGTCTGGTTCACGATGAAACTGCGGGTTAGTTGCTTGATGCCGTTTGAACATTGCGTATACTTGATGATGAAGGTGAACATCACATGGCGGCGCCGAGGTGGACAGCAGGGACACAAGACACTTGGTTGAATCGTGAAGGGAACTTTCGTTGGGGGCGTAATGATTGTAAGAAACCAATCGAGCAGCAGTAAATGATGTCCACCACCTCCCCTGCCCAAATCAGGCGCAGGTCTACGCGCAGGCACAGAAGGCTCGCTGGGCGGAGTGCGCTACGCCATTCAGATAGCAAGGCGAAGGAACGGCACGTGGGTGGCGAGAGGGATATCCGGGAAGACGAATACGGGTGTGGGAATCTGGGCCATGGGAAGGAGGAATGAGTAGGGGGAGGAGAAAAAAAGAGTAGGAGTAGGAGGACGAAGAGGAGGAGGAGGAGGAGGAGGAGGAGGAGGAGCAGCAGGAGCAGCAGGAGCAGCAGGAGCAGCAGGAGCAGCAGGAGCAGCAGGAGCAGCAGGATCAGGAGCAGGAGCAGGATGAGAGGCTGGATGACGATGAGCCAGCGACTGTAGATACCGACGAGGGGTAGGAGTAGGAGCAGGTGGACTGCAAGGATTGGGGCAGGGATGATAGGTCGATTAGGAGTGGGAGGATGTGATGTGGAGGATGTGAAGGATGTGGAGTGGGATGCGGACAATTCGTCTTTGTCCCGACGCGTATTCTCGTATTCGTTTGCGCTCGTTGTCATATTTTTATTGAGTAGTGTGGTCTCAGCTTATCTTGCGTGCGATGGCGTGATACATGTCGAGACATGCTGGGAGGAAAGGGAGTGCGAGGGGATGTGGAGGGACAGAAGGGAAAGGTAGGACGGAGGAGGAAGATGGACCATCGGATAATCAGACGTAGGAGGAAGAGTAAGTGGATGATCATATACATGATGATGATTCTGCTGATGATGATGATGATGAGGATGAGGATGAGGATGAGGATGAGGATGAGGACGTCAGGATGGTGATGATTGTGACGATAATGCTGATGCTGATGATGATGGTGATGATGCTGTTGTTGAGGATGCTGATGATGATGTTGACACGGATGTTGATGCTGATGATTATGCAGCTGATTTTTATGTTGTTGCTGTTGATGATGATGATGATGATGATGATGATGATGATGATGGTGATGGTGATGGTGATGGTGATGGTGATGGTGATGGTGATGGTGATGGTGATGGTGATGGTGATGGTGATGATGATGATGATGATGATGATGATGATGATGATGATGATGATGATGATGATGATGATGATGATGATGATGATGATGATGATGATGATGATGATGATGATGATGATGATGATGATGATGATGATGATGATGATGATGATGGTGATGGTGATGGTGATGGTGATGGTGATGGTGATGATGATGAGGAGGAGGAGGAGGAGAGGCGGTCGTGGTGCACCAGCATCAGCATCAGCAGGATTGACGCAGGAGGGTCCCCGCGCTCGTCGAGCAGCGTCGTCCCCAAACATCCACGCAGGGAGTGTTATTTCGAGGAGGCACGATGTGCACGGCGCGGCCACTCCGCAAGAGGAGCAGCAAATACGTTGAGTTAGTGCAAGCGGTCGGGTGCGTGCAGAATGCGGCCGTGCGAGCTTCTTGCTCGCGGTGGAGCGACCCTGACGAGTGGCAGAGAGGGCGCTGGCGGGGTGCGCTGAGGTCATGTCGTGGCGGGTGGCGATCGGACCTTCTCGAGGGTGGCGGGGGAGGATGCAACGACGCAGGGCCCACTTTGGGAGGAGGCCCCTGCCCGCTGCAGGGGCAGACGGGCGAGGCCGGGAGCGGACAGGCCGGCTGCAGGCCGGCGGGGCTCCGTCCCCCGCCCGGTGGAGCCGAGCCGCTGCGTGTCTGCCAGAGCGTGGCCCGTCGGGTCGGCGATCTGCTGCTGCGGGCTCGGGCCGCGCGCCGAGCGCGTGCGTTCCGCCGCGGAGGGAGAACATGCACTGCACAGGCAGAAGCCTCCGGAGAGCTCCGCGAGGATCTCCCGGGTCGGCGCTGGGGCCCCTCTGGCGCCGCGCCTCCGGCGCCGCCCCCGGCGCGCCCCGCTGGAAGATGACTGCTCAGGGAGTCCTGTGAGCGGGATGCATGGCTTGGCGGGCCGAGGGGAACGGCGGAGGGCGAGCAGCACAGGCAGCAGCGGGAGCGCGGGCGGCTGGAGCCGCAGCCACGTGCCCCGCGGACTGGAGCTCCGGGAGGTCCATGCTTCATCCGCGCGCCAGGGAGGAGGAGGAGGAGGAGGAGGAGGAGGAGGAGGAGGAGAGGAGAGGAGGAGGAGGAGGGAGGAGGGGAGGAGGAGGAGGAGGAGGAGGAGGAGGAGGAGGAGGAGGAGGAGGAGGAGGAGGAGGAGGAGGAGGAGGAGGGAGGAGGAGGAGGAGGAGGAGGAGGAGGAGGAGGAGGAGGAGGAGGAGGAGGAGGGGAGGAGGAGGAGGAGGGAGGAGGAGGAGGAGGAGGAGGAGGAGGAGGAGGAGGAGGAGGAGGAGGAGGAGCTGCGCGCGGGGACCTCCGAGACGGAGCAGGCTCGTGCCGTGCTCTGCTCCTCCGGCCGTCGGGCCGTGCGCGCCGAGGGCGGGCGCCTCGCCGCCGAGGCCCCCCAGGCGGCGGCGGCAGCGGACGTTCCCCGCCCGCGCGAGGGCGCCCTCGCGCCCACGCCCGCGAGCGCTCGGGGCCCGCCCGTGCCGGTGGCGAGCCCGGGCCAGGGCTCGAGCTGAACGGTGTTTCGGCAGTTTCGTGGACCGTTTTCGTTTTGACTTCGTTTTGCAGCAAATGTGGAACGAAGACAGGACTAGGGATGGCGAAAACAAGACGAAAACGGAAAACACTGTTTAACTCGAGCCCTGTCCCGGGCGCCTCCCCAGGCAGAGGCCGAGCCCCCTCGCCCAACCTGGGAGGGGAGGGGGGGCGGGAGGGTGAAGGGAGGGGGGGCAGGGCACGGGCCTGGCAGCGCTCGGACGTGTGCATTTCTTTTTTTCTCGGCGAGGACCCTGGAGGACCAGCCTGGAGGACCCTGGAGGACCCTGGATGACCCTGGAGGCCTGGCATCGCTCGGACGTGCGCATTTTTTTCCGCGGCGAGGAGCATCGAGCAGACAAAGCCGCGCACGAAACCGACAAAAATGCACAGGGAGTGGACGTCCGAGCAATGGCACGTGGGGGGGATGGGGGGAGAGGCGGGGAGCCGATGATCCTCGGGACGTGCGTCAACCCAGGCGCGTGTACAGTCGGGGCCCTGAAGAAGGAACCCTTTTCGTTGGGGAGGGGCTCGGTGTTCCTTGATTGGGCTGCAGTTTGCCTTCTGTCTTCCTGAGGTTTTCCATGGGAAAGCGAAGTTCAACTTATGGGAGAAAGGGGCCCCGTTCCTTATTTAGGGTTCCTTATGTCAACGCCGCGACTGTACCCCCCTTCGGCGCCGCCGAAGCAGGCGCGCAGCCCGCGTCGGCCCTCGGTGCGCCGCTCTGCGTCGTCGCGTCGGAGGCCCTCGGGGGACGAGCACGGGTCTCCTGGCATCGCTCGGGCGTGTGCACTTTTTTTTTTTTTCCCTCGGCGAGGACCATCGGGGAGCATCCCTGATCATGTTTGGCGACAGAACTACCACGCACGAAGCCGACAAACATAATCACAGGGGGGAGGGGCGTCCGAGCGACGGCGAGGGTCTGAGCCGGCGCAGGTTCTGAGAAGCATCGAGGGGGGGGGGGGGGCGCAGCGGGGGAGGAGCACGCGGGGGGGGCTGGCGGAGGCTAGATTTACGTCGGGCCTGTCCCCCTACAGGGGGATTTTCGACGAAACTTAAAAAATAACCCCAAAAAGGTCACAAAGTACTGCAAAAATAGTTCGTGAACTATTTTTGGCGTATGTTTTGACCTTTTTGGCATATTTTTGGGGTATTTTCGTTTTTTCGTCCAAGATCCCCCTGTAGGGGGACACGCCCGACTTAAGGCTGGATCGCCCACAGGGGGCGCGGCGCGACGATCAGTCGCCCTTTGTACCGGCCGCGGCCTCGGCCGCAAGGATTTTGCCCTCCTCTCCGGGGCGGCGCGAGGGAGCGCGCGAGGAGGAGCGCGCGAGCCGCGGGAGCGAGCACTCGGAGCGTCAGAGGTCTCGGTGCACACCTTCGCCTCTTCCGAGAGGGCGGCCAGAGGCGCTGACGGGGCACGGAGGGAGAGAGATCCCCCGGGTCGCCGCGCGGGAGCGGCCGCCCTTATAAGGTGTGGAAGCAGTGGCTGGCCGAGCGGGAGCGCCTCGGCAGGGAGCAGGCCGCCGCGGAGGGCCGCAGGAAGGCCGAGGAGACGGCAGGGGGCGGGCCGCGAGCGGGGGGCAGCAAGGCTTCGGGGCTCGGGGTGCGAGGTGTTCGGATGTCTTCGTCGGTTCCGGGCGGCTTGCCAGCCTCGGGGATGCGTTCCAGCGGCTGCGCTTCGCCGAGAGCATTCCGGGGATGCCCAGATCGTTCCGAACGGCCGCCAGGGAGCCGAGGTATGGCCCGAAAACCGGGGGCAACGTTAGGGGGGGATAGGTGGGCTCAGGGGGGGATGCAGCGGCCACCAAATCGCCCATCCATCGCAGGAGCGTTCCTTCGGTTTCGCATTCCTGGGCCTGTCGCAGATCTATCGTCGATGTGCAACCGCCGATCCCAGGGCGATGTTCCCCCCCCCCTGAGCCTGTCCCCCCCCTATCGCTCCCCCTCCGTAATTACTGCATGTCGCCGACGTGCCAAGTTTGGTCGAGTGCTGTTTTTCAGCACGCCTTGCGTGTGTGGCGTCGTGTTGCCGTCGGCCCCTTCCCACTCGCCGGCCTGGCCGCTGAGGTGCCGCGTGAGGCTCCGGCCCACCGCGTTAGGTTGGTTCGTCTTTGCGCGGCCCGCTCTGACTGGACTCGCCGCTGGCGCTCTCGCCTGCGGCCGCTGACTAAAAAGCGTGGCGTCGCCCCCTCCTTCTGACCTCGGTCTCTCCCCCCCCACCGCGCACGGGGCGCGCCTCGCCTGCCCTTTGACGCCGAGCCATCCGCCGCATCAGACCGTGTCCGTGGGGGGTGAGCACTGGGACGAGTAGGAGGAGGAGGAGGAGGAGGAGGAGGAGGAGGACGAGGAGGAGGAGGAGGAGGACTGATGATGATGATGATGATGATGATGATGATGATGATGATGATGATGATGATGATGATGATGATGATGATGATGATGATGATGATGACGATGACGATGACGATGATGATGCCGATGATGGATGATGATGATGATGATGATGATGGTGATGGTGATGGTGATGATGATGATGATGATGATGATGATGATGATGATGATGATGATGATGATGATGATGATGATGATGATGATGGTGATGGTGATGATGATGATGATGAGGAGGAGGAGGAGGAGGAGGAGGAGGAGGAGGAGAAGAAGGTGTCGTATGTGGGCTCTTTTCCGAAGGAACGGGATGCGCGTGTCGGGGTTTCGGCTTGGTGCCTGGTCGGGGGGGCGGCCGTGGGCGTCTCGTGGGCGCCCCCGCGCAGAGGCGGGGGCACGCCGAGAGGCTTCGCGCCCGGTGCCCGCCCGTGGGCGCGCCTCGTGGTCGAGCTCTGCGCCCAGCGGTGTTTCGTATTCCGTCCTTGCTTCCCCCTCCTCCTCTCCCACCTCCCTCACCGCAGGCTGGACCAGTGGCATCCGAATGGTCGCTGTTGTGGGTTGCGATCGCTGTTATGATTGCAATTGCTCCCATCCTCCCGCGGTGTACCGGCCTATCCTGCCGCGGATCGGCCGCTGGTGCTCCCAGCGGGACAGCGCGCAGATTCCGAGACAACCACGGTTCTGATATTCAGTTTCACGAGGGCCGCAACTCGTGACATTAACGTTGCGCTTTGCCGCTGTCAGAAGGCCTTTGGTCGTGCCTAGGGATGAACGACATGTTTGGTCCCCGTCTTACTGGCTGCGACTTTCTTCACTCCTTCCTCCCTCGTCTCCCTTTCTCCTGCGGTTGTTACCTCTGGCTTTGTCAGGGTTTTGAACAATTGATGCGCGTGACGGGCGTTGTTGGCCAACTCCTGTGTTCCGTTCCGTTCCTCCTCGTTTGTCTCTTATGCCTCTTCGGTTTCACACGTGTTCGGCTGCTAGCTTCTCATCGGGCAGGTTCATGGATCTCACGTTTGCTCGTTTGAGCTGCGTTGTCGTTGGTGGTGGTGGCGGCGGGTGGAGGTGGTGGGGGTGGACTTATTGCAGAATGTCGTGGGCTGGATACGGTGCCTTGGCGAGCTGCCACGTAGCGCTGGTGCCAAGCAGCTGGATCCTGCGTGCCCAGAGCCCTGATCCTGGTCCTCTGTGACCACCGTCTTTCATATTCTGTCCTCCTCCTCCACAGCGTCCTTGTTTTCCTTCTTTTCCTCATCCCACCATGACAGATGAGCGGCTCCATCATCTCATTTGGCCTTCGTGCACGGAGGGAGAAAGAGGAATCGACAACAAATGCATACATACAGGTGTATATATATATATGTAGAGAGAGAGAGAGTGAGAGAGAGACACGGCAGACAAACAGGCAGGCAGACAGACAGACAGGCAGACTGACAGGCAGGCACAGAGAGAGAGGGAGAGAGAGGCATGTCCAGCGTATGCTCGGCGTTGCACGGGCAGGCGCGACCATGCTCCTCCTCCTCTTGTTGCTCCTCCTCCTCCGCATCCCCGTCTCCCCCCTCCTCTTTCCCATTTCTCCTCCTCGTCCCCCCCGTTCGTCCTCCACCTCCGCCTTCGCCTCAGCCTCCTTCTCCTCCTTCTCCTTGGACTCCCCGCCTCATCGTCCTCCCCCTCCTCGTTATACTGGTCCTGGTCCTCCTCCGCTGCATCCGCATCCCCCATCTCCCCCTCCCCTCCATCCTTCGTCTCCCCTCACCGTAACTCTCCCATCTGCTCATCCTGGCAAGGTATGTGGCCTGAATATGTTTCTAATGCCCAGGGCAAGTGCATCGTAAGAAATGCCCTTCCTCCTTGGCGATGGTGGCTCAAGGCTGAGTGCAGCCTACGATCGCAAGGCGAGCGCCAGAGGACATCGCACGCAGGGTCGCACGTTGGTCGGCGATGCGACTGATGCGGAATCATCGCATTCATCAGTCACAGCGCTTGTTGGATCAGCGTAAACAGAAGTGCTATCAGCGTCATGATCATATGATGCCAGTCTCTTAGTTTATGGTCTGATACCTGCACGTCCCACCCCCGCCTGATCCTCCTCCTCATCCTTCGCCGTTTCTCCTCTGCCTTCCCCCTCCTCATCATCCACGCCTTGCCCTGAGACTTCGTCTCTCCCATTCCTTTCCACGCTCACCCGCATGGAAGGAGATTTTGCGCAACGCCAAAGCCGAGCAGGCGGCCAAGGAGGAGACGACGCTCGAGCAGGAGGCCGCGGAGAAAGAGGCCCCAACACTTGCGCAGCTGATGATGATGATGATGATGATGATGATGATGATGATGATGATGATGATGATGATGATGATGATGATGATGATGATGATGATGATGATGATGAGGAGGAGGAGGAGGAGGAGGAGGAGGAGGAGGAGGAGGAGAAGGATTAGGGGAGGACAACGGGGGCGGCGGCGGTGGCGACGCCGACGACGGCGACGACGACGACGACATCTTGCTGCTGCGATCAGACCCGCCGATGGCGCGACAAGGGGAACTGACCGAAACTGGCCTGCTGCGTCGAAATGTGGGCTGCGAACCTCTCGCGAGGGCGCCGCCGACGAGGGGCGCAGGCGGGGGGCCAGCCTGCAGCGACGCGCACGCAGGCCCCCCAGCAACGCACGGAGGGCTCGCCTGGGCACAGATCCTGGAGGGGGTGGGAACTGTGGGAAGGGGGAGCTGCGAAATCTGGCTGAGGGAAACAAGCAAGCAACACGTCCCCCCCCCACTTCCCCGCAGTTCAAAGTTGGCATGGTCACGCATCACCGCTCGGACACTCAAACGCGGAAGGTCCGAAACCAACATTGCACTCGGGGATATGCGGGGGGCAGAGGAGGGGGAGTTCAAGCCATACGTTACGCGTGAGTGTTGCTTGATGGTTTCCGACACCTGTCTGCCGCAGATAGCTGGAATCGTCTCCGACGCTGGGAGTTCTCCCCGATACATGTGTTCCTCCGGCGCCAGGATGCGCTGGGAACACCAGCTACGTGAGCTGCTTCGCTACCCCTCTCCCCTTTACTACCCCCCCCCCCCCCGGCTCCAGATCCGCCCAACTCGGGGCGATTTTGCAAGCAGGGCGGCAGTGTCCGCCCTGCCTTTCGGGCTCCTCTGATGCCGATGTCCGCCCCTCTCTGCCGCCGCTGTTTCCGCCACGCTCTTGCGGAACTGGCAGCTCCTGATATCCCGAGGCGGAACGAGCAGCTCTTTCGCGTCGTTGGGGGTGCACTTGGCATCGCTCGGACGTGTGCAGTTTTCCTTCGGCGAGGGCCATCGAGGAGCATCCTTGATCATTTGGCGAAAAAACCACGCACGAGACCGAAAAAAACACAGGGAATGGACGTCCGAGCGATGGCGAGTGCACCGCCGACCACAGCTTCAGAGCCGAAAACGACCGACCACGGCACGGCGCCCCCCCGGAGTCAAAGGGGCCCTCCGTCGCCCGACCAGGAAGCTGCATAAAGGGCGCCGCGTCATAGTCACGCACCCCGAGGGCCTTTTGGAGAGCCCGTTGGGCCTGGTCGCCAGGGCAATCGCGTCAGCCTTGTGGCCCCGGCGACGTCGTGGGGCCATCACGTCAGCCCTGTGGCCCCGCGACGTGTCCGCCGGCAGGCTCCCTCCTTCTGCTCGCCCCCCTTGTCCTCCTGGTCTTTCTTCCTCCTGCTCCCCTCGTCGCCTGTCTCCTCGTTACTTCTTCCTGGCAGGAAGCTCCGCGCCGCGCTGCAGGCCCTCCAAGCCCCTCGCCTCTCCGCGCCGAGCCCCCCCAGGTTGCGCGCCGTGCTCGGCGGCGCGAAGCCGCGCGGGCTATGCACGCAGGGGCGGCGCGTCGCCGGAGTGACCCCCGGGTGCGGGCCCGCTGGAGCCTCCCGATCGCCGAGCGCAGTGCGCTGTCTTGCGCGCTCACTCACGCCACATTCATCTGTGAACGCCTCCCCCTCCTCCTCCCCCTCCTCCTCCCCCTCCTCCTCCTCCTCCTCCTCCTCCTCCTCCTCCTCCTCCTCCTCCTCTCATCCCCCACCCCTCCCTCCCTCCCTCCCTCCCTTCCTCCTCCTCCCCCACCCCTCCTCCTCCTCCTCCTCCTCCTCCTCCTCCTCCTCCTCCTCCTCCTCCTCCTCCTCCTCCTCCTCCTCCTCCTCCTCCTCCTCCTCCCCCTCCTCCCCCTCCCCCCAATGTTCAAAGTTGGCGGGGGATCTGATGAGTTGCACCTCGACCGCAGTCTCCCCCCTCGCGTGCCAACTTTGAGCATGGGGGGCAGGGGGGGTGTTCACTAACTGCTTCCCTCTGCCGGATGTCCTGCGCGCTCGTGTGTTTGGCCCCCCCGCGGCCCCCCAAAGAGGCTCTGCGCCAGAGGTCGCTCCCGCGTGCGGTCGACCCGTGGGGCGAGCGGAGGGGGGCGGGCCTTCTCAGAGGGCGGCGGCCGACCTCTCGGGAGCCCTCCGGCCTTCCGAGACGTCCTCCGCGTCGTCGGAGGGGGCCCGAGAAACTTCCCCGAGGGCGCGAGGGCTTCGAGAGGCCCCGCGGTCTTTGAGAAGGCCTGCCCTCCCCCCCCCGGGCGCCCCGCCGCACTGTTTTTTGTAGTGATGTCCACCCGAGACAGCGATCGCTGACGTAACGTACTCGTAAGGAAAAGGATGATGAGGAAGAAATGCAAGGAAGAGGAGAATGACAGGCTCATGGAACATTGTTCTCTCCTCTTCTGGATTCCTGTCGTGCCAGACTGGACGGACGAAGTCCACTAAAGGCGCAGCCGTACCGAGGGTTTTGTAAACCTGCGCCTTGCGAGTAAGAAGGACAGTTCTACAATTGAGGGAGTGATGCAATATAAAGAGTACTTGGGTAGTGCGAGAATGCGGGAAGCGAAGCTTTGGGTTCTGCCGTCGCGAGGCTGGAGGGAGCTCGGGTGCCTGGAGGCGCGACCTACCCCCCTCTGCTAAGTGAGGGAAGTCGAAATCTCCAGGCAACATGAAGTCGAAATCTCCAGGCAACATCACACCGGCCGTTATCGCCAGCTCTTGGACTGGTTTTGGGGCTTGTCGTGAGGCCCTGGAAGATAGCCTCGGGTTTTTCACGGCACTGTATATGGCACTGCACCTTCCACCCCAGACGTTTTGGATGTATTTGCCTTTCGCTGGAGAGCAAGAAGCGTCGAGACGTGGGTCTGACAGCGGCGGACACCTTCCGGTGGTGACGTGCGGAGCCGCATCCAGGAAGACAAAGCGCCAGCGCTGTGGCGCACTGGGCCGACCGGTGGTCTGATGCCGTTGGGGCCTCGCGGGAGGGAGGACGCCCGGCCAGCACGGGACCGGAGAGGCGGGGAGCCGGCGAGCGGGAGAGGAAGTGCAGGAGCGGCGTCCGCGGCAGGGCCGGGGCCAGGGCAGAAGGGTCCCTGTTTCCTCGGCTTCCCTCCGGGGGTGTTCTTGGGCTTCTTGGGCCCCGTGGGCCACTCGAGGGGCTCGTGCTCGTCCTCCGTGTGAGCTTTTCATAGCTGGCGGAGGACGAGGGCGAGGACGAGGGACTCGTGCTCGTCCTCCGCGGTGCGGCTGCTCGGCGGAGGGCGAGGGCGAGGAGAGCCTGGCCGGGCGCTCCTCCGTTGCACGCTGCGCGGCGGCTTTGCTGCTGCCGTGCGCGGCCCCCCAGAGCTCGTGGAGGCACCGCTGGCTGCTGGCTGCTGGTGCTTGTCGGGAAGCACGGGTTGCCTCAGGGACCTGTGCCCTATAGGGATCTCTAGGGTCAAGGCGGGCCTATCCCCCTACAGGGGGATTTTCGACGAAAAATGAAACATACCCCCAACATGGTCCCAAAATAGTCCACAAATAGCCTGGGGACTATTTTTTGAATATCTTTGTTGGCCGCTTTGGGGTATTTTTGAGGTACTTTTATTTTTCGTTGAAAATCCCCCTGTACACCCCAGGCGATGCTTAAGAAAACCCAAGTTTTCGTCCAGAGTCTCGATTATTCTTAATGTTTTCATGTAAATCCTACGACTTCGATGGAAATTCTGGGCTCTTACTCAAGTTCTGAGACTATGAATTTCTTAACCCATGATTTCTTAAGCATTTCGCAGGGTGTAGGGGGACAAGCCCGATTTAACTTTGGGGCCTCTCCTCCCCGCGGGGCCCGCCAGGTGGCCGGCAGGCGGTTCGGCTCCGCGGTGTCCGCCGCGGTGCGGGCCGTGGCCGAGGAGCCGTGCCGCCGCTGCGGCCGGCGCCCCCCGCGATGCAGAGCTGTGGCGAGGGCCCCCGCTGCCGCCCGGCAGGGGGCGGCAAATGGTGGGCCTGGCTTCCACCACCACCAGCAGCAGTGGGAGGGGGAGGGGGTCCTCCTCGTCCTCCACCTCCTCCTCCTCCTCCTCCTCCTCCTCCTCCTCGTCCCCCGCCTCCTCGTCCTCCACCTCCTTCCCCCCGCCAACTTAAGGTGGTGGTGGTGGTGGTGGTGGAAAACAGGCCCATCAGGCAAAGCAGCTGTCCGCCCTGCCCGTCTCCTTCTCCCCCCCCCCTCTCCCTCCCCCGTCGACGGCGGGTGAGGGGGGGGAGATGCGACGGAGAAGGCCTCCTCAGAAGGCGACGGGGCTTCTCAGAAGCCCTCGCGCCTTCCGAGAGGCTCTCTGTGTCTTCGGGGAAGACCTAGAAGCTTCTCAGAAGGCTGGGGGGCTTCCGAGCCTTCTGAGAAGGCCCGCCCACTCTCACTTCCCCCCTGGGCTCGCCGCCGACCTTGAGATTTGGCGTTGCGGAAAACATGTCACGTCGGAGGGGAGGGGAGGAGGACGAGGAGGAGAGCGAGCACGAGGAGGGCGAGAACGAGGAAGCGAGCGAGGGCGAGGAGGTCGTTCGGAGCACGTGGCCGAGCCGATCGGCGCCGCAGGCGGGCATCGGCGGGCACGGTGGAGCCGATCGGGTCGTGGGCCAGCCGACCCCGAGATCCGACGTCCCGAAGAAATGCAGCATCGCGAAGCACCACGGCCAGAGTTCTAGACCCCACCTTTCTACTGTAAATTTTCGAGCTCCACCGATCTGTGACGGCCCTGGAGTCCGAGCCCGGGCGAAACAAGGTTCGGCGTGGCAAAATCGCAACGCCTAGATCTCAGGATCCATCCAGGCCTCGGGCGCTGCGTAACGGCGGGGGGGGCGATAGGCTAGAGTGGGTGGGGGCGAAGAGAGGTGCACAATTTTTGCACGCCTATGGGGGCCCCCCTGGGGCCCAAATCGGGGCACGAAAGGCGTAGGTCGTAGGTTTCTTCGCCCCTTCGTGCGTCGCCCCCTCCCGTCACGCAGCGCCCTAGGGCCTCCCCCTCCCCGCCCCTCCTCCTCCTCCTCCTCCTCCTCCTCCTCCTCTGCCTCCTCCTCCTCCTCCTCCTCCTCCTCCTCCTCCATCGTCTCCTCCTCCTCTTCCTCCTCCGTCCTCCTCCTCCTCCTCTTGTACTCCTCCCTCCTCCTCCTTTCCCTCCTCCTCCTCCCCTCTTCCTTCTCCTCCTCCTTCCTCCTCCTCCCCCCTCGTCCTCCTTCTTCCTCCTCCTCCTCCTCCCCCCCTCCCTCGCCCCACCTCCTCTCCTCCTCCTCCTCCTCCTCCTCCTCCTCCTCTCCTCCTCCTCCTCTTCCTTCTCCTCCTCCTCCTCAACCTCATCCCCTCGTCCCTCCTCCTCCTCCCCTCCTCCCTCCTCCTCCCCCACCCGCACCTCCTCCCTCCTCACCCGCCCTCCTCCTCCTCCTCCTCCTCGCTCCTCCTCCTCGTCCTCCTCCTCCTCCCCCTCCTCCCCCTCCTCCTCCCCCTCCTCCTCCCCGAGAGGAGCGGCTGCCCCTCGAGCAGCGCACCCTGGTCGGCACGCCGCCGCCTCCGGCGCAGGGCGCCCGGGACGCCGGCCTCACGGAGGAGCAGCTGCAGGCCCAGGACGCGCCCCCTCGGCGCGGGGGTGCCGTCGCCACGGCTCAGCCACGCGCAGAGGGGGGTGGGGGGAGGGGGGAGGGTTTCTTAGAAGCAGCCCTGCTTCTTAGAAGGCGCGGGCCTTATCTATAGGTGGAAGGCTGGCGCCTTCTAAGGAGCAGCCTCGGCGCCGGCACCCTCGGCGCGGGGGTGCCGGCGCCGATCGGCGCCGCGGCGCGCCCTGGGCAGACCCTAAATAGCGTCGGCGAGCGCCCCTGGCAGAACCTTAAATGGCGTCGGCGAGCGCCCCTGGCGACCCTTACATGGCGTCGGCGAGCGCCCCTGGCGACCTTAAATAGCGTCGGCGAGCGCCCTGGCGACCCTACATAGCGTCGGCGATGAGGTGTGCACTTTGTCTCGGCGGGGATTCTCGAGGAGCCTCCCGGAGCCTCCTGCGAAGAGAAGCCACGCACGAGAGGGGCAAAAAGCACGGGGAGCGGGCGTCCGAGCGACGGGGAGCGGCGCGGGGGTGCCGTCGCCGCTCGGCGCCGCGGCGCGCCC